AAAAAAAAATAGCTCTGACTGGGTAAAATCTGGTATACCTTTTTTCTGTTTCGTAGTCAAGAATTGGCATTTTAGTCCTGGATTAGAAGAAGTATAATTTTGACGCAAATAACAAACAAAAGCAGGCGACTGACGTTGCTTTGTCGCCCGGGTTCCAAGCCTCTTAATTGTTGCATAGTTAATCGATCTAACTTTCTATCGTACATTCGTCCTAATGAAAACGTCTACATTTAATCACGTATAATACGCAACTCTAGGGCACTGACATCTGTTAGCCTATTGTGTGGAAAATTGAAAAAAAAAAGAACAATTATTCTATTCGTACTTGTTGGATACGAAATTAGTTAAAACCAACTCGGCGTTAAGCGTCTTTCTGGCTGTTTACCATCTCATGATGAACGCGCGCTCATGGAATAATTGTTAAATAAACAGAAAGGGAAAGAGCCAGGCTAGGTTCCTTTTCGCTCAACTAGTTAAAAAAGGCCTTCGGAAAACAGGATTTTTTTTTTTTGTTCAAGTGATGTCATCACACGTGGATTAAGATCAGCAATGAATTCTTTTCCTTCTAACGAATCCATAAATTGAAGGCATAAGAAGTAGTAGGCGAGTTGTGGTTGTTGGCTTCATCTCCAAAATCAATCTCCCCACTATGAGACCATTCTTCAAATCCTCCGTAGTCGTTCTCAGTGATCCCGATACCATGATCCGCTCTGCCGCATCCACTCCCTCCTCCTCCAAACATAAGAACTGAACCATCACCACCATCCCACTGACACCAGAATCCAATGCGGTGGCTTCCTTGAATATTGCCATTGCAGAGTGCTTGACTAAAACCAATAGTGGACTGGTACGATCCACCATAATGCACTGGGCAGCTGCCAAGACACCGATTATTGGACCAAACATTACGGTAACTAAACTTTCCATATGAGGACATGTATCCTCTAAATGTTTTTCCACCAAAGCAGTTTGTGTATGTACGAAGAAGAGCAGAGTGTGAACTATCGTCACTGCGAGTGATTTTAATCTCGCTTCCTTTCACTTCCCAGAATGCTTCTGATATCATGTCAGAGTTAGTGGACGTGCTTATGGGGGACCCCCGTGAGGACAGGATGTCGTACCACCAGTATGCGTCATCTCTCATCCAATTCTTCCCATCTGCGTTTGAAAACCGAGCAATGAGTGTCCACCCACCAGAGCTTCCTGTCATATCGCAATAGACCTGCATAAAAGTGGGTGGATATAACTTCAGGATGTAGGTAAAAAGGTGTCTTCTCTTAGGAATTCACATTATTAATTTGTTATATAAGATCTATTTAGTTACGGCTAGTGGCAACTTTAAAAGCACTGAAACAGCAATTAATAATCATTCCTGAGCTAGTCACCCCTGTAATCTGAAGTTAATAAAGATCAATAGAGTGAAACTTGCTGGTACATTCGAGTTTTGACGGAACTAAAGAAATTCCCTTTAACGTAAAATGTGCTTAGCATTTTCCATTAGGGTGGAGGCTATTATTCATGCCAAGCTACTTTTAATTAATTACAAGGAATGCAAAATAGAAAATTGATAATTTACTAGATGTGACCAACAGTTTATTCTAAACAAATAGAGAAGGCCTACTCTGGGACCCTAAGTTGTCTTAAGTCGCCTAAAGTCGCCTTAAGTTGCCTTAAGTCGTTATTGGTTACGCAATGTTACAAACGTTCCACCCTTCCCAGTTGACCCTATTCACCCCGCTCTAATCATATTGTGTTTATTGCAAGGGATGCTGTAAATATTTTTTAAGGTTCATGGAGAGACTGTCGCTAACTTTGATTTTATCGCTTCAGTCAAATAAAATCGCTTTAAGTCGCCTTAAGTCGCCTTGAATCGCCTCAAATCGCTTTAAGTCGCAATGTTTTCTATGCCAATTTTGCTTAAGTCGCCTTAAATCACCCAAAGTCGCCCAAAGTTACGGCGACTTAAGGCCCCAGAGTAGGCCTTATAGAGTGCTTTTCGTGTGGTAGCTGGCTTCTACCTTTACTTCTTAGCAAGACTAAGTGACTTTGGGAGCTGGATTTGATCGAAAATGTCAGATTTTGAAATACTTATATTAACACTCTTCTTTATTGTGGCATAAAACTGGATTTAAAATTTTCCAAAAGCTTCGCGATTTAATTTCACTTTATTCTCTTTGATTTTGGGGTCTGTTATGTAGTCAAACGTTTTTGTTATATACCGAAACAAACAATTCTCTTTTATGAAAATCAGTGCACATCTTATTACCTCAAAATCAGTGAGCTGATTATTCATCAAAATAAATACGGGTGAGGTTCTCTTTATCTTTTTTGTTTCTATATGTAAATATTCTTCAGAGACGCAGAAAAGGGAAAAACCTTTTACATAATTTGTGATACGATTAACTGCGATGTATGTTACAAATTGAATGTAGGTTAGTAAAAGTGATAACATAGGTAGCTCCGCAGAAGAAAATACTCAATTGATTCCTGTATCCTGATTAAACCCGGATGGACAAGATTGGCGTATTTCCATCACTCGAAATTGCCCACGACTTTATAGTAGAAAGATTCTGTAGATTTTGAGTTTCTTAGAGTGACAGAACCTCTTTCGGTTGAAACGCTTTAACTCTTGGGAAGAGATGTTAGCAGACTCAGTTGCGTTAAGAAGCTAAGCCTTAGCTTAGGGAATAGGACGTGGCGTTCCCTTCTTTAAAATAGATTTCTACTGCTTTTTCGCTCAATTGCACGCCTCTAAACCCTTCAACGTCTTTCATATCTAGCGTACTGAAAGAGCGCGAGTGACCATTTTAATTTTATTTGCAAAGAATAACTAAGTCCTGCACTCCTCTTCGGCGGTTGCTACCCATGCTAATTTAACCAATTCTGTCTATTTTGATACCTGTTGAAAAAGGTAATTAACCAAATCAACCGAAAACGGGTTTTCCCTGGAGAACATGGAAAATTCAACCAACAAAGAGAACAAGATCTTTGTTCAAGTAGAGTCGTATTGAAAAGACTCAAGTGGAAGATGACATTTACCATTGAGTTCAACTTTACCATGTATGAACAAAGTTTTTATGTATAAAGCGAGAGATAAAACAAACTCGTGAGTGAAAGATGTCACACTCTTTCTCGATACAGGCTCCACGAACGTAGTCTGGTAACGAATGATAGTTGAGAGAAGAAATATCGTAAAAAAAAAATGACGAAGACAGAAAGACAATTTAGAGTTCACTGAAATTCACATGCATTTAGACCTTGCGCCCAGTCAGAGTATATCAAACAAAGAGGTGAGGGGAAAGTTTGCTATATGTTTAAAGGTGAATTTGTGACGTGGAACGAAGAAAATAATTTTTTAAACACCAACCCACAGAACTGATATTGCTATCACTCTACCTGAAAAGAATTTCTATTGACTTTCAAAGAGTATGATCCACTTGAGGCGTAACCAGCTGCCAAGAGATTTTTGCACGATGTTCTGGCAACAGCTTTGAAGAGAAATGGCAAGATAAAGGTTAATATGGAGCATCACTGTAGCAAACTTTCGTGCTTGAAAATTGACAAATAGTTTAGAGGCACCAACTATGATAAAACATTCGTAATTTGTGATAACCTCATTTGCAGTTATTGAATTTGTGCTAGCATTCCGCTGAATATTGGAAAAATTATCGATGTAATTTCTTTGAAGCAAAGCTACTGTTGCATTGACCCTGAGAAGCCGATTACAAATTCCCCTTTCATTCCCCTTTAGATGGTTTATACAGTCATCAAAATTAACGCTATTTAAATATCATGTCATACAACTGTGATAATTTGAATGGAGTGATGTACCTTCACATCGCCTTCCATGGTACAAGCTTGGACAAACACAAGTAAAGTTGTAAACTCCATCCACACATGTTCCACCATTGAGACATGGATTGGATTTACATTCATCCGTTTCTGAAAAAAATAGGTTGTAGAGTTTGTCCTTCATTATTTTGTTTCAAAAATTAGTTCTTATTGTTCCTGGAAAATCTTATTATTTGTAAATTATTCTGTGGATATAAACTTATTGGGGACAATGAATCGATGGTTCTTCTACTGGGATTTATAAAATTATATGAATTATGCAAAAGGTGATTTGCTTCTGTTTTTCATGATACCCACCAATGCTGGTTAAGGTTAGTCAGGGTCTGGTTATTTGAAGATTTTATTAAACCTTATCATTCCTGCCTGAATTTCACTGGGTAAAACTGCTTATTCATCGTTTACTTGGAAGAGATTTTGACGAGGAGAGAAAAGAAAGGAGTCTGCAGCGTTACAAGAGAAGGTCAGTCTTTTAACAAAAGAAAAATATTGGGGACATTTTAAGAATAAGCACCTTTTCCTTCAGCATTTTTAGTCCACATCCTTCGTTCTGTACTTCTTCGTAAGTTTAGAAAATAAGCACCAATACATAGGTCAATAAATCTCACGCATACCTTGACATTGACGACCAAAAAAAGGAGAAGGACAGGAACACGTGTAATTGATAATCCTATCAGTACAGGTTCCACCGTTTAGGCAGGGACTACTGGAACATTCGTCGAACTCTTTAAAACAAGAGAATATTATACAAGAATGAGAACACGTAGATCAATTTAAGGCGACTTTTACATTTTTTAACACAATCAAGAACAGCATAATCAAAGAACAACTAGTTCTCACACTCAATTGTTTTTCATTCGGGGACAACTTTTTCAAACAAACCAATTGTGTAGCCATGGGTACCAAAATGGGACCTAGCTATGCCAATATTTTTGTTGGTTTTGTCGAACACCGATTTTTCAGCCAATAT